GTCAAAGATTTCACATTGCTTGGTTCTACAATTGACACCAATGGAAGCACCAGTCAGGACATCAGGCAACATGTGTTGTTGTTGTTGTTGTTGTTATGTGTGGTCCAGTTGGACCCGACTCATAGCGACCCCTCCTTGGGTTTCTGAGGCAGTATCACTATGGAAGTAGATTGCCCCATCTTCCTTCTGAGGAGTGGCTGGTGGATTTGGACCTCCAGCCTTCTGGTTAGCAGTCAAGTGCCTTGGGTACTATGCTACCTGACCTCCCAGGTGACATATAGCACTGGGCAAATTAGCTACAAAGGACCTCTTTCAAGTGCTGAAGAGCAAAGATGTCTCCTTGAGGATTAAGGTGCTCCTGACACAAGCTATGGTATTTTCGGTCACCTCATATGAATGTGAGAGCTGGACAATGAATAAGGATTACCGAAGAAGAGCTGATGCTTTTTGAGCTGTGGTGTTGGCAAAGAATGCTGAAAGTACCATGGACTGCTAAAAGAACTAACAGGTCTGTCCTGGAGGAAGTGCAGCCAGAATGCTCCTTTGAGGCAAGAATGGCCAGACTTTGTCTCACCTACTTTGGTCATGTTGTTAGAAGGGACCATTCCCTGGAGAAGAATGTTATCCTTGGTAGGGTGGAGGATGGATGAAAGAGGGGAAGACCCTCAGCGAGATGATTGACATGGTGGCAGCAGCAATGGGCTCAAGTATAGCAAAGATCACGGAGCTTGTTTAGGAGCAGGCGGTGTTTCGTTCTGCTGTGCACAGGGTCGCTACGGGTCAAAGATGACTCTCTGGCACCTGACAACAGCAATAAATAGCTTGTCCCTTCCTTAAGTTTTCTAATACCTGCTCAAAATACTTAAATAATCAAGAAACGGTATATGAAATTATTCAAAACTGCTTTCTTCATTTTCAGAACTGATAATATTCTTGCTGTTTTTTTAATCCAAGAAAGTCTATCAAAGGGAGCCAATTGGATTTCAGTATTGCACTCAAAATTCACCTTTGAAGATATTAGAAATGCTTATCTCTTTGTAGCATCTTATGCATTGGGTCTGTTTCATAGATATTATGCTACTTATAGATGGTAAATGGAATCCAGTCATGTTCCTGAATAATTAACCAAGTTTCATTTATAGCAGGAAGCAAATGACGAAGATATGAGCCTTCAGGATACACAGAACAGAAAGCACAGGGACCTTTAATTCATGGGTGAATGAAGACAGAAGCAAATGTTGGACATAGCAAGCATGTTCCCTTATGAAGCCATTACAGTATCATATATTATTAAATTGATACATAGCTCCAGAGCTTCTTGGTTTTCTGGGCCCCATCAGCCTCCAGTGTGTTTTTAAGAAAATAGTGTGTCTGTGTGTGTCTGTGTCTGTGTGTGTCTGTGTCTATGTGTGTGTGTGTATGCTATGTGAAGAGAGCTGGTATGGAAAAGGTCAGTTAAAAAGGAAGCTTTCTTCCTATTCATTGTGATAACTTAATTATTTTTATTGGTGGAAAGATTCTTCTATTTAAAAAAAAAAGCTTAAACATTCTCTTAATAAGCATATTTGAGAAGCACTGCCACATGTATATTTAACGAAGCTCAAAGAGGATTTTACAAATGTTCTTACAGTGAAGATTCTACTCTGCTGCATTTGTACCAGAGATAATAATAGGCTTAATTTGAATTGTATTTTTAAAATTCATCAGAGCATTTTCACATCTGTTCTCTCATTTGATCCTTTTTACTGCCCTGTAAAATGTATTAAGTGTGAGTCCTAATCCCTGCTTGACAAAGGAGGAAATGGAGATCTCATAGGGTTATGTGATTTGTTACAACACATGCCCTAAGTCAGTAACAGGTCTAGAAATCAGGTGTCATACCTCCCAAATTCCATGCTTTCAGATCATAAAGGTCACTTTTGAACATACACAGTTATATAATTCACACACAGGTACAAAATAGAATCAACCAGGAGTAATTTGAAAACAAGAATGATAGGGCCTTATACCTAGAGATTCCAACTGAGATCAGATAAAAAGCCTGCTATACCTGTTTTCTATATGACCCATATTTGATTTTGAGTCTGAGCAACAAGCATTATTGAGCATTCATTCATTTATTCACATAGTATTGTTCTCTTGAATTTCCCCTTTATCTTCTTGGCCTGTCTTCCTAATATGTTGTTGGACTTTCTCAAATTCATTGGTCTGTTTCTTGTAAGCACCTTTCCAGTCCAAATAAATTTTTAAAAAGCCCCTGAATTCTCTATTTCATTCCTTAAAATAAAATCCATGTGTAGAAGAAAAAGACATGTAAATGTCTAATAAGCATAGACGATGCTCAGTATTACTCATACATAAATGCAGCTTGAAGAAAACAAGGTACTTTTTTTAAAATTCATAAAGGTAGAAAAATCTGATGACAAGCAGCATCGGTGAGAAGGAGGGAAATAGACACTTTGATGTAATGTTGGAGACAAGTCATTGGTACTGTATCTCACAATTAGAAATGTACATTTTCTTTGATCTGGCAATATTGCTTCTAAAGTATACATAAATCTGCACAATATGGATGTTTAAAAATATGTATTGCAAGCATTTTTTGTAGCAGGCATAAAAGGAAGCCATTTAAATGCCTAGCATAGGCATCTAGTCAAATAAATTATGGTAGATGAATGAAATAAACTTTGATGCATCTCAGGCAAAGAATGAGCAATATGTTTATATGGAATGATCTTCAAGGTGTATTAAGGGTGTTGAATTTTAAATAAAGGTGAAAATAAAATTGTATGTATTACATCCCAACTGAGTATAGAAAGATATAGAAAGGTAAAGAGCATGCATATATAAAGACTTTTTCTGGAGAAGTAAACTAGTAGCTCTGATTGCTTATAGGAAGGAGAACTGGGAGTTTGATGTGGGAAGGAATCAAAACTCATTGTATTTAGTTCAGTACCATTCGAATATTTTTTTCATCTTAAAAATTTCTAAAGGGAAGCTGGTAAAGTCGAAAAGAAACTAAAGAAATTCAATAAATAAAATAATAATTGACAAACAGAGTTAATTATAGATTGTAAAATAGATCTTTTCCAGTTTAGTTTACATTTTTGTGATTTCACTCATATAGAATTGATGTAATAAATCCATTTATACTTTCTTAAAAATCATATGTATTTCTATATTTTCATATAAGCTTGGGAATATCACTTAGCATATTTAGTCCATATTCCAGTTGATCCCTATCAACTGTAGGTTTCTGACTGACACAAAGGGTTTTACAAAATCAGAGAAAGTCAGAACTGTGAGGGACCTTGGGTGCTTTATAATTCTTCTGTAGTTTGGAAATGATGAAACCGAGGCCTCGTAGGACTTCTTCCTCCTCATGTGGTAAAATCTAGCTTTGAGTTAAATAATAATAATAATAATAATAATGCTGAGCAGAGGTAATAAAATGAGAGTCATGACATGAATTATTTCAACCAATTCTATATTAGGTGGATGTCCAACCATGGACAAGTCTTCTTTCCTCTTTGGGCCCCAATTCTTAACTTTCTGAAAGGGTAAATTGACCTTGATAATATTGTTTGCATTCATTCCATCTTCACTGGAAATAATTTAAGGGATTCATCCACTAACTCAAGACCTTGTTCACTTTATCACTCTCTTTGGACTTATAAGTACCTCAGTTTTTCAGAGTTCCTGAATCTATATTAATGCCATCATTCTTCAAAAGTCGAGTTAAGTTAAATCAAATTAGCATTTGTTTCTACAATTACTCTGAGCTGGATATTTTAGTAGTACTTAGAAACCCTTTGTTAATCTGAAGCAACCCAACTTCTCAAAGACTTCAACTATAGCCCATGTTCACCTAAGTCTTTCTTTCTTCAATTACTTATAGCACAAATTGTCCAATTCATAATATATTTGTGTGTATGTGTGTGTGTTTTGTTCCCCAGCCAGAGTATAAGCTTTTATATTTCCCATTGTATTTGTCTAATTAGCTCTTGTAATCTTAAGAGTGGATTCAGAATATGAGTGGATGAAAACAGATGTTTTAGACTGAATAAACTTTCCAGATTCAGTTCAGACCAAAACCTTGAATGTTCACTTGCAAGGAAGATACGCTTCAGATAAAATGCAATATGAGAGGTTGATGAGAAGCCATTTCTTCCAGGTTGGGGAATTGGCACAGTCTGGAAGGTGATGTTGCCCTCTGCTGTAGGGAAGGAAAAGGATGCAAGGGTCAGCAGAAGGTGAAAATTGACCATGACTTCGCATCTTCTGCTTCTGCACCTCAGTGAATCCAATCTAACATCCAAACTGGGTCTGGGATTATCTATGCTAACAACTCATTTGATTCACAAAGATAATAAAAGTTTAACTCTGGGTTATTTTCATATTTTCTGATAGAAAATTAATTAGCTTTTTTAAATTCCTTTGAGGTCCTATGGCAGATTCTCTAAGCAAACTGATATTTGTAAGGTGAAGCCAACTCCCTTAAACCATCTGTTTTTTTCCTTGATGAGTTCTAGGAGAAAAATAATGGTTTTGAAGTGTAGGAAGTGAGGAAATACCTGAAATAAGTAGTTTTAAGTACAACCAGCCTAGTCTCAAATTATTTTAATGCTTTGTTGTTGTTCTGCCATTGAGTTGAATTTTAATGCTTAAAGTATTTAAATTTAGATTATTTCCCCTAAAGTAAGGTATTACATTAAAAAAAGTGTGTAATATATGTAATTACCAAGAGTCCATGAGTAAAATCTGTTTTTTAACATATCCTTTTTTTAAGTTCAATCTTCTGTAATTAAAGATAGATACTGATATTTCATATTTATACTTGTCTATGTATCCAAATCCCACCAATATAATTTAGAAAATTCCTACTCAAACTGCTTAGTCTCACCATTTGTCTACTTTTGACCTTCTTTAAAATTTTACTGGTGTTAGGTGCTGGCCTTTACAGAGTTCAAATATACAGCAATGTTGCTCTTTTCCTGCAGGCAGAATTCACAGCCATGAGGGAGCAGTACATGCGAGGTGGAGAGGGCTTCATCATCTGCTACTCCATCACTGACCGTCAATCGTTCCAAGAGGCTGCCAAGTTTAAAGAGCTCATTTTCCAGGTCCGCCACACCTATGAAATTCCTCTAGTGCTGGTGGGCAACAAAATTGACCTGGAACACTTCCGCCAAGTGAGTGCCAGTTTTATCTGTTAGCTTCTATCTTTTCTTGAGGTTTCATAGTACCAATGATGTCTGTTTTCCAAATTTCATATTGAGAATTATGAGAAAGAAATGAGACACATGATTTTTGCAGAAATCTTTGTGGATCTGTAATAGAATGTATTTCCAAAGTTGACTACCTCAATATCGCCTATCCCACATGTTAGTTTGTTGTTTCCTTACCGTTGTCCCATCAAGAAGTATCATTACTTACTCTATTTGCTTAGATCCTTGCTGGCCCTAAGATTGTTTTAACTAAGAGGTTGTGGTCGAAGTGATGATGTGTTACTTCTAAGGTTGGACATTAAGAGATCTGCAGCTTCTGCTTTAGCCATTTGGAATGCATGTTCCTAGCACCCAGCTGTGTGTAAAGAAACCCAAGGGATCCATGTGCAGAAAACCTGCTGCACAAAGCCAGATAATGTTCCTTCTCATGACTGTCCCCACCAAGCACCACACTGATGGCTGAAACCATTTTGGATGCCCTTGCACCAGCTGCCTTCTAACTGTAACCTAGGTAACACTTGAACCATTGCCATGTGGAGCAGGAGAATCTCCTATCTTAGCCATGCCTGGATTTCCATCCCACAAAACTATGGGCAAATAAAATGATTATTTTGTTAAACTATCAAATATTGAGGAAATTCGTCAGACTAATAAATATAAAAAGGAGCTCTGATCGTATAATGGTTAAAGCACTCATCTGCTAACTGAAGGGTTGTTGATTAGAAACCATCAGCTGTTCCACAGGAGAAAACACATGGCAATCTGCTCCTATCATGGTTACTGCCTTGGAAACCCTATGGGGTAGTTCCACTGTGGCCTGTAGGATAGCTATGAGACAGAATAGGCTTGATGGCATAGAACAGGAAAAAGTTGAACCTACTCTTCAGGTTGAACCAGAAATAAATCCTATATGTCTTTTTATTGTTATTGTTATTGTTAAGTGTTGTTCAGTTGGTTCCAATCCATATATCAATTCTACATACAACAGAACAGAGCATTGCTTTGTCTGGCCTCATCCTCACACTCATTGCTATGTTTGAGCCCATTGTTGCAGCCACTGTTCCAATCCATCCCCTTGAAGGTCATCCTCTTTTTCTCTGACCCTCTACTTTATCAACTATGATGTTCTCTGGAGACCAGTCCCTCCTCAACATGTCCAAAGTACACACAATGAAGTCTTGTCATCCTTGCTTCTAAGGAGCATTCTGGTTGTACTTCTTCTGAGACAGATTTGTTCATTATTTTGGCAGCCCATGGTACATACAATATTCTTAGACAACACCATAAGTCAGATACATCAATTCTTCCTCAATCTTCCTTTCGCATTGTCCAGCTTTTGCATGTATATATTGTCGGTGGTTTTATGTGCCGTTGAGTTGGCTGTGACTCATAGTGACCTGATGTACAACAGACATGAGGCGTTTGAAAATACCATGACTTGGATCAGGCTCACCCTAGTCCTCAAGGTGACATCTTTGCTTTTCTATATGCCTTTAGTCTACTTCAATCATCTTCTGCTCTACCACTGAGATCCTCAGAGGGTCTCACAATTTTTCCAAACAAAATCAACAAGACAGAAACCATGTCCTGTCTTGGTTAAAACAATACCATGAGACTGTTATTGACTACCAGAATTCATAAGGATTATAGTTTTCTCTCATGTGGTCATATGGTTCTTCTTGGACAGGATCTGATGGACAAGCTTTGATGATCTCCTTCCTGAAATGTCTGCTTGGTAATGATACTTGATTTGTCCTTGGTAAACCTGAAGAGACTAAAAAAGAACACTTAGTTTGGGGCCCAAGCAAATCATCTCAAAATTCTTTTGGCATGACTCATGTTGTACAAAGTTTCACTACTGAGAAGTTGCATGAAAATCAATTTTTTTTTTTAAATCCACTGGTTTATAGTTCGACATGCTTCACCTTTATTTGCATTGACCTTAAATTCAAACCAACTTTTAATTGTTTCTGTTTCTCCAGTTAATGATTTATCTTTAACTTGCTTAAAGTGACCTGTTAATACAAACTTTTGCAAAAGTAAGAATCTTTCTGAAACAAACAATTCTTTCTTATTATAAGTGTTTTATAAATTTGGATTTTAACTATCTAATCTAACCTACATTTTCTAAAAGTGAAAAGGTCTCATATTCAGCCAACGTTTATATAGTTATTCTAAAATTATCACATGGAACCATAGTCCTAGGATTTTTTTGTTGTTGTTGTTGTTGTTGTTGTCAGGTGCCGTCGAGTCGTTTCCAACTCATAGCAAGCCTATGCATGGCAGACGAAACACTGCCTGGTCCTGCGCCTGCTCCATGATCTTTACTATGCTTGAGGCTATTGCCACAGCCACTGGGTCAATCCATCTCATTGAGGACCTTCGCCTATTTTGTTGACCCTCCACATTACCAAGCATGACATCCTTCTCCAGGGAGTGGTCCCTTCTTACAACATGACCAAAGTAGGTGAGACGAAGTCTGGCCATTCTCGCCTCCAAGGAGCATTCCAGTCACACTTCCTTCAGGACAGATTTGTTAGATCTTTTAGCAGTCCATGGTACTTTCAGCATTCCTCACCAGCACCACAACTCAAAAGCATCAACCTTTCTTCGGTCTTCCTTATTCATTGTTCAGCTCTCACATGCATATGACGTGATTGCCAATACCATGGCTTGTGTCAGGCACACTTTAGTCCTCAAGGAGATATCTTTGCTCTTCAGCACTTGAAAGAGGTCCTTTGCAGCCGACTTGCCCAGTGCTATACGTCATCTGATGTCCTGACTGCTGCTCCATTGGCGTCGATTGTAGAAGCAAGCAATGTGAAGTATTTGACAACTTCGATTTTTTCTCCATTTATCGTGATGCTGCATATAGGTCTGGTTGTGAGGATTTTTGTTTTCTTTATAGTGAGGTGTAATCCATACTTCAGACTGTATTCTTCAGTCTCCATCAGTAAATACTTCAAGTCATCCTCACTTTCAGCAACCAAAGTTGTATTGTCAGTGTATGGCAGGTTGTTAAAATTCTTCCTCCAATCCTGATGGCATGTTCTTCTTCATGTAGCCCAACTTCTCAGATTATTTGCTGAGCATATAGACTGAATAAGTATGGTGAAAAGATACAACCCTGATGCACTCCCTTCTTTATTTTACACCATACAGTGATCCCTTGTTCTGTTAGAATGACAACCTCCTCCTACTCTATGTACAAGTTCCTTATGAGAACAATTAAGTCTTCTGGAATTCCCATTCTTCTCAATGTTACCTATAATTTGTTATGATCTGCACAATCACATGCTTTTGCATAGTCAACAAAACACAAGTAAACATATCTCTGGTATTCTTTTCTTTGAGCCAAGATCCATCTGACATTAGCAATGATATCCCTCGTTCCACATTCCCTTCTGAATCCACCTTGCATTTCTGGAAGTTCTCTGTCAATATATTGCTGCAACTATTTTTGAATTAGTAAGATTTTACTTGCATGCAATAATAATGATATTGTTCAATAATTTTGACATTCTGCAGGATCATCTTTCTTTGGAATGGGTACAAATATGGATAGTTTCTAGTCAGTTGGCCAGGTAGCTGTCTTCCAAATCTCTTGGCATAGCTGAGTGAGTGCCTCCAGTGTGTTGAAACATCTCAATGGGTATTCCTTCAATTCCTGGAGCCTTGTTCTTTGCCAATTCCTTCACTGCAGCTTTGACTTCTTGCTTAAATAACATTGGTTCTTAAACAAATGCCACCTCCTAAAATGGATGAAGATCGACCAGGTCTTTTTGGTACAGTCTATGTATTCCTTCCATCTTCTTTTTTTTTTTTTTTCCTTGCCCCTTGTCAGCTCTACTATACACCTGGGAATTCTGATCATTCACATAAACTTATAGGACCATTGTCTGCCAACCCTATATATGAT